CATAACAAGAGTTAAAGATAAGACATCAGGTAAAGCCAGACAAGAAATTAGGACTGCATTCTTACAGGTTGGTGCCAGCCAGCTCCTCCATGTGTTTGCTGCTGGCCAAGGCCAAGCCAATCATCAATGGTGGTAGTGACTCTGTGATAATATATTTAAGGAGGAAAAAAACCCTCCTGGGGAACAGTAGCCAGAGAGAGAGAAGTGAGAGGATGTGAGAGAAAACAGCCCTGCAGGCACCCAGGTCAGTGCAGAAGGAGGGCTGGAGCAGAGATTCCCCGGCAGCCCCTGGGGCAGCCCATGGTGAGGCCGGCTGTCCCCCTGCAGCCCAGGGAGGCCCACGAGGGAGCAGATCCCCACCTGCAGCCCGGGGAGGACCCCACGCCGGGAGCAGGTGGATGCTCAAAGGAGGCTGTGACCCCATGGGAAGCCCGTGCTGGAGCACATTCCTGGCAAGACCTGCAGACCCGTGTGGATAGGAAAAGACCCAGCATGGAGCAGTGCATTAAGAACGGCAGCCAGACCCACACTGGAGCAGTTCAAGGACCATCTACCATGGGAGGGACCTCAGGCTGGTGCAGGGACCGAGTGCGAGGAGTCCTCCCCTGAGGAGGAAGGAACAGCAGAGACAGCATGTGATGGACTGACCCCAGCCCCCATTCCCCATCCCCCTGCACTGCTCGGTGGGGAGGAGGTAGAGAATTTGGGAGTAAAGTTAAGCCTGGGATGAAGGGAGGGGTGGGGGGAAGGTGTTTTAGGATTCAGGGTTTCTTTTATCCTCTCCTACTCTGATTTGATTGGTAATAAATTAAGCTAATATCATCAAGTTGAGTCTGTTTTGCCCATGACGGTAACTGGCAAATGATCTCTCCCTGTCCTTATCTCGACCCGTGAGCCTTTCGAAATATTTTTCTCTCCCCTGTCCTGTTGAAGAGGGGAGTGATAGAGCGGCTTTGGTGGGCACGTGGCGTCCAGCTAGGGTCAACCCATCACACAAGCAAAATGATGTACCATTGATACAAACTGCTGAAGACAGCAGAAACGACTTCTCTCTGTGCCTCCAGCTCAGGACTAGAAGACTTCCAGTTATTATCTAGTCAAGAACAAGTTGTGTTTTGATTAAATATAAATACTCTATCTCAGCAGAGGGGTGAAATGCAACGGCATATAACAGCAAAGTATTCAGACTACATATGATCTAGGACAGATGTACACTGCAAAATAACGCTCAATAGAAAAACTTGAACTAACAGAAATCCCCTCTGGACTTCAGGTCTATAAATCTACCACATATTGATTTCATTATGCTCTTCTACATTGTTTGCTGTGTGATTACCTTACTTGATTAACCTGCTCCTGCTTAGAGCATGGTTCCATGTCACAGTTTCTCTGGTGGTAAAGCCATTTTAACAGAACCTTCTCTATCTCAATTCCCTATATTTGCCAGATCACTTACAGTCTATCACACCCCTCTGTTGTTCTGATGACTTTCGTTTCCAGTGGGTCCACACTGTAAAGCAGCTTAGCAAAAAGGCTTTGCTTTAAAATATGCTCCCCCTCCCCCAATGTAAAGATAACTGATTTAGAGCTTTGAGCCAAGCAACAGGAGAGGATCGGTTTGCAGTGTATCATGCTTGAAGCCTGAAATATTGCCTATGTGAATATTGGAAGCTTCAATCATCAACATATAACATGATGCATTTCTTGATTACTCATGAACTACTATGTTTTCCATTCACTTGTCACCGTTATATTATGATGAATGAAACCACTAGACCTAGCCTTTGCTATAATTTTATTAGTATGAAGCTAAGCATTTATTACTCAGATTAGGTTGAGGGTATTGGGGGTTTTCTTTAATTATTTAAATGTTATTCCTCATGAGTAACGATGAGAACAAGCTATGGAAAACCAATATGCTAATTGATTACTGTAAGGCACTCCAAGTGGTGAAAAACATTGTGTAGAAGAGGATAATTGCCTAGAGACATATACTACAAGGTTGAATGCTTCCATTTGAGACTATTTGAACTGCTTTTGTGGAATGAGATGATAGTTCACAACGTACAGTGAGATTTGGTATTACCTATATAATTTATCAAGATGGCTTTGAGAATCAAAGACTTCATTCTGAGCATCACTAAGTGCAATGCACAACTTCTCCATCACAGTATTAGGTCACAAAATCTCCACTATCCAAGCATCTCATCCAGGTGGGGCTTGTGTCTGCCCTAACTCAATTTAACCGACTGTGAAATCAATGAGACTACTACTGTTGACCTTAACAGGAGGCAGACTAGAGTGAAAAAAACAGAGATGGAAAAGGTATTGATTAAGCAAACCCCTTTTCCCAGCCGAGCTATGATACTACAAAAAGTATCACAGCTGAAGGGGCTTCTTCCTCTGTACTGTGCTAGCCTATACATAATAACAAGTTTGCAGTGAATATTATGTTTATTCCGGTGTAAAATTTAATTTTTAGCTAACAAACCTATTGAAGAAGTTTATGTGATTTTTTTGTATTGTTTTATATTCTCCTGTAAGTGCATTCTTAGGACACCCTATTACTATAGAAACCAAAAATAAAACCCAACTTCTTTCCCTGCTCATATCACTCCAGAAGTACGGTGTTCTCTGTGTGCTTTATCAGCAAGACATTAAAAGGATAATGAATTGAACAAAAGTCAAAGAATAGATCTCCAAAAATCAGTTTGTCCTTAAATACATTAAAATCTGCTTCAGATATAAAATTAACTAACTCTTCCTTTTCTTCAGGTAGAGTATTAGTAGCTGTCATTCAGCTGATCAGCACCAAAAAGAACAAAATGAAAAAAAAAAAAAGAAGGTAAATTGCAGCTGGAAATTGCCACTAGTTTTTTATATATTTCTGGGTGGCCTTGTCAGTTCTAACTGAATCCATTTTTAAAATAGAATTTGGTCTCACGGAAAACCAGTAATAAGCACTGTCCCCATTATACAGAAGGAAAAGCTGAATTAGAGTTTTCAAATGAGTTATTAAGAGAAGGAGATGAAATATGATTAAGATAGTTTCCCATTTTTGCATATGCAATATGAGATAAATGTCAGCTCCACTTTCCTGCTAAAGAAAATAAGTAGAAATGCATGCACTGCAATTTGTTCAAAATCTAATTATTTTGTTTGATGAGAAACAAATCTCTTCCTAGAGTGCTAATTGCCACATATTTTCTTGAAAGAGGAAAAAACACACAATTTCTCAAAGAAAATTTAATGTCACAAAAATATGATAGCTTAGTCTTGTTCTTCATGTCAGCTTCATTAATTTCCTTCTTTAAATATTGTTTAACATTTCACTCTTTAGGAAGAACCCTTCAGTCTTCTGCAATAAAACAGACTTGTCCAGATGTTGCATTAAATCAATAAAGGAAAGTAAACACAGAGGAAATATGAGGTCCTTCTCGCATGGAGAAGAAAGGCAGGCATCATACTGGGCTGTTTAGAAGGAGGCCTAGCACATCAGAAATGTGAAGCAAATCCCTCTCTTTACACATCTAGGCTTGTTCTTCCTCTTAGCATCATACTTTGAAAAAAATATGGTTACCACCTTGAAACAGCCCAGTAAACATCTTCTGAAAACAATGGGACATCTAAAACGTCTGAGCTACACGAAGAATCTGGTTGAGCTGTTTAACCTAAAGAAGAGAAGGTCAAAGAGGAACTTGATAATAGTTTTCTAGCATGTACAACACTGCTGTAAAGAGGAAGAAAATAATAGGTACTCTTTAGTCATGGTGTATAAGACAAGAGGTAATGGGCTTGTACACAGAATGAAAGATTCAGGTCAGACACACTGAGAAAAGACTGATTTCAGACTTGTGGTTTCAGAAGTCAACAAAAATAGGCATATGGATCCCTGTCACAAAAGGTAGAGGCTTAGCAGGTACCGTCTTAGGAAAGAGAAATGGACAAAGAGATTTCAAGATGGTTTCTTTGTTTACTGGGTCACTAGGGAGATGCATCAGTTCGCTCAAAAAAGTATGCTGTCTTTTGCATGAATTGTAGAAGTCCTTTAGTCTGGGCAGTTTTTCTAATTTCAGTTAAGCAGAGAAAAAAAGGTGCTTATTTGCTTTCAATTTGCAAGTCCCAAAACACAAACGATATCCTAATACAAGATAGCCCTAAAACACATGCTTAAATTCCTCCCTGTTCAGGAGACCATTCAAGCAGGGCTCAAGCATATTTAGTTCTTCTTCTGAATCAAAGATCTGAATCTGTTCTGCTTCTTGAAATGTGATCATTAATGCCCAACACAAGCTTTTTCAATTAACGACAACTCATTATATTGTTATCTCTTTTTAAAAAACATGTATATCAGGCAGGCTACCTTTCTTATCTATGTGGTTCTTGCCATCTGCTGGCAGATATTTTATGTTGTCAATTTGAAATGCACAAATTACTTCAAGTTAATGAAGAATGATTAAGAAAAAGGTCAAAAGCTGTATTAGTAACAAACCTATATTATATGCAAATATTGGGTATTAATGTTGTGTATCAAAAAGTTTGAGAAATTTTATTCAATCAATATTGAGATTAAAGCACTTCTTAAATACAAACTTAACATAATACATACTCTATATTACCAAAGGAATCATTATAATATAGCATCTAATCACTAGAAGAAATTCTACAGCTGACCAAACAGTAGTGAATCGACTACTTCACCTACAGTTCCGTACAAGCAATATTGTACAAAAGACATGGCCTTGCCGGGGTTGCCTTTTTATGTAATCCAGATGTTGAATGAGTTCAGCTCATAAGGAAACAGAAAACTGTATAAAATTGTAATTCAAAATACCAAAGAATATCTGGACCTTGAGCTTTACTAACCTTCATGCTTAAGTGCATAGATTTTAAGAATGGTTGCATTGATGAATAGTCTTTCTTTTCAGTAGCATTTCAAAAATAAAGGACCACCCTTGCTAACATTTCAAATTCTCAGCATTTAAGAGTAAATCACATACCTGGTTTTAATGTTTTGATTGCCACAGGGGTGGTATTATTCCACAGGCCTTCCCAGACCTCACCAAACTGACCAGATCCTAATTTTTTCACTAATTTCAGAGATTGTCGGTCTATCTCCCACTGATCGACAGTTTTATATGACAGATCAAAAGTAGTAGGAATTTGTACCTGGAAGAGAAAATAAATAATACCATAACTGACACTTCTAATACTTTTTCAACAGCATATACAAGTCATTGTTAACTATGTCAGGTAAAGTCGCAACTGATAGAAATAATGCTTCCTTAGAGTATACATATGTGATAAAGTAAGCTGAGAACATAAAATACAGCCCACATCCTGAGTACTTTTTGTTAGAAATAAGAAATACTTTAAAGAAAATATCCTGCCATTAAAAGTAAAAATTAGAAATCATGCCTCTAGCAAGCTTTTTGAACAGTGATGTATTGCTTGCCTGAACCTTGTGGTTTTGTCTCAGTAATTACTTATGGACAGCTAGAGTTATGAAGTTGGAGATTTCATCTCCATATACATTTATAAAAAGGTATTCATAAATCATGATTTGGCATATTTTCTCCTCCAGTCACACAATGATTTGTTCAAAACGGCATGGTGTTTTCTTATTAACATGTCAGCTCCAAGAACAAAACTGTAGCGCTACCCAGAACTTCCTGAAAATAAGCAGATCGTCCACATCTTGAAATGGTAGAAGGAGATATGAAACAGATATGGGGTTTACACTCTCTGACTGATATCTGATGAGTTAGCTTACAAAAGATACGTTGCACAATGTAGCATCCACTCTTACCTTTAGGCATGGCTTTCCGAGCACCACACAGAGGCCATCACTGTTCTTACTGTAATAGTCAACAAACTCATTCAGAGTCTTGAAAGTTTTCCTTCTGCTTAGGAAAAAGCCTCCTTCATCCAGCTTTCTGATCCTGTAGTGCTTCACAGAAACACCATCAAAAACTAGGAAGATTTAAATATATTAAGTTTCCAGGAATCATAGCAATGGTACAATATAGCTTACAGCCAAACCATCATAAATTTCCTTAATGTATTTATGAGGACCTTAAAATAAGTTATTTTAGTTTCACAGATAACAACTATACAAAATCTCTTTCAAACCAAAGCCCACTATTTAAATAGCTTAACATATCTAATCTACTGGTCTTTAACCATTCAATTTCGGAGATTCTTGCTTACACCGTAAGACCTGTCACAAAAATCCGTGAAGGCATCCGTGAGGCAGCTCATATTTTCAGTCATTTAAGACACCTAAACCAGCCAGGAACACTATTTAGCAGTAGTTGTTTAATCAGTTTTTAATATTTCATTTATCAGTGTTAACATTCCAAACAGCAGCTGCTGGGCTGGCAGGCATTTTAGAGCAAGCAGATATACCCTCCACATGGCCATGGTTCTCTGTAAAGCACTCACAGCTTCCTTGGGTTTTATTGAGTTTTGTGCATGTTTGGAACATGTAAAATCAGGCCAACAATGCTCTGGTTTGAGTAGCTGATGACCCCCTTTCCATTGAAATGTTTTGTTCTCATCTGTTCTTGTCTAATCAACAAGACCTTTCTCTCCTCACCTCCTTTAGGTTATTTACTTGCATGTCATGACACCCAAAGGGTCCTTCCTTGTGACCATCAGAGCACTCTTTGGACGTGTCAGAAAGAAGGCTGGGACACTGCATGAGGCGGCTAGACCTGGACCAGCAGCAGGCCAGAGATGGACAAAAAAATGCACTGTCACGCACCTAGTATGTTACCTAAGGAATATTAGGTTTGCCATTTCTGATGGCTCTGTCATACCCGGCTTAGAACAGTGGTCTCCAAAGCAGAGTGCATGCAGCCCAAGGAGTGCACAGGACAATCCATTGGGGTGTGGGAAAAAAGTATTTTTGTACCATTAATAAATGAAGTATTTTAAAAATACTGTTTATTTCATCTTTATCTCATCCTTTTTAAATGTCTTTTTTTTTAATGTTCTCTAACGTACGTAATCTATCAGTACAGTAGTCCGTGTATATAAATTACAAATAAATAAATAAAAATATGTCAGGGGTGAATGCTCAAAAATCTTTTTACTGGTAGGGGTGCACAATCCAAAAAAGTTTGGAGACCACTGGCTTAGAGATCTCCTTTATAAAGGAATATCAGCAGTAGCAATGGCGGACTGAGCGTCGGCAGAGAGGGCAGATCTGAAGAGCTGAAAGTAGATGTAGTCTCTCATGTAGGATGCTATTTAGCATGATGCTCCATGACTGAGACACCACTGTCCATGGAGAGCCTATGTTAAGTACTGAAGGGTAACTGGTTTAGCTCCTGTCAGAGGGGTATCCCACCCTGCACTTAATGAAACAACGCAGTGCTTTTCCATTACGAGTGAGGAGAGAGCTCTCAAGGGGAGGGGGATGCTCCAGTTGCCATCCTGGTCCTCATCATCCAACATTAACCTTTCCAATAGGCCAGGTGGCTCCTTCCACACCCATCGATTCCGGAGATCACCATTACTGTCCCCTTCTCAGGGCCTTCAAGCAAGATGAAAGACTGAAAAGCAAAAGGGAGGTATAGGGGAAAGGCCTTCTGTTCTTTACCTCCAGTATACCATTTAGTCACCAAAATTCCAGCAAACATATTCAGTTTAGTCACGTTGACTAGTGGTTACTCTTAGTTAAATAATTTAATGGAAATATTTTTCAATCCTAGAAGAAGCTTCAGTCTGTTACATTTGAAAATCTAATCATCTAAAAAACTGTTATTGCGCTCCCCTGGAGATATTATAGCTGATAGATCCCTGATATTGTAACACTGCATGAATTTTGGCAATCACTTTGGTTATACTAACAGAAGAATACATAGCTATATGTTGTATATAGAAAAAAAATATAGAAAATTATGGGTTTCATGCAATTGGAAAAGCTGATACAAAGTATAATTTCCCTCACTGTTAAGTGACTAAGTTAAAAGAAAAATCTCTCCTTCCTTAAGTACTGTAATGTATGAGCAAATATTTTTCGACTGTACTGTGTGATTGTCATCCCAGGCCACCAGAGGGCATACAGGAGCCGCTGAAAATATTAGGAGATTTTCTATCTGCCCCAGGTAATATTTTGACAGACCTGATTTTCAACTTAAAATTCTGCATGAGGACCAGAAATAAGAATAATTGTAAATATAACTCCATAGTATAAAAATAATTACATCACACTTTTCAAATACCATTTCTTTTTAAACCCTCATGATTAGTATTTTTTAATTATAGAATGCACATATATTTTTGTGGTGTATCATTTGGAAATGGGGCTGAAGCAAAATGAATTGAAGAGTAATTCAGTAACAACAGACTGTAATGACTTTTCCAAAGCTCACAGTAAAGTGCATCTGGCCAAATGAATTGCTGTTTATGATGAATAAAAGGCCAACAGGATGACTGTTTTAATCCAGTCTCAGTTGTATATCACAAGTGATAGTAGACTATCTGATTTATTTATTAGCAGCATTATAGTTATTACTTGTGAAGCAGCTAATGTTAATGCAAGAGCTGGTTTGAAGGATGTGCTATAATTTCTTAAATGAGCCTTGCACGAAGCCTTGTGATTGGCAACGTACAGGTCAGGCAGTGATGTGTGTGGAGAATCTGGAGAAAACTCCTCCGCTGACACCATCTTTGCTTGTGATAAGCAGCTGAGATCAGTGCGGTATTTGACAGGGGGCTGTTGACTTGTATCCCAGGGCTGAGTCTGGCTGCACGAGCCCTGTACCGCACACTCGCAGAGCTGCAGCATGGTGTGGCTCCTCTGCCCAACACAACACAGGGAAAGTGTCACTCAGGGGAGAGCTTGCCATAACCCCCTTGGTGCTTCCAGTCATCCTTACATCCACATATCCCAGACTATTTAACAGGACAGGATCGCAACTTCAGCCTCACATGGTTTGACAGCAACTGGGTTTGAAGACTGCAGCGGTTTTCTCCTTGATTTGCCCTTCCCAAAAGAATCACCACTCCCCATTAGATTTCTGCATGGGATTAGCTTAACAGAAGCACTGCCCTCTTTCATTGTCGTCTTCCCATCTTCATAAGGTTGGGTCATGCAGAAATAGATTTTGCCAGCCCAAGGAGGAGAATAAAATAATTTACTACTCCTTTCCCAGAGCAGCAAAATTTATGGTGGCATCAGCAGAGTCAACATCTTCACCAAAGGAATCATGGAGACACTACGGCACCATTACTGCCAGTGTCCCAACATCTGTCCTCTTAGCAGTCTTCCCCCAGCACTGATAGCGCTCATGACGTGTCAGTGATGTGCTCGGTCTCCAGGCCCACGGTGGGTGTGGGAGGAGGGTGGCTTATGAGATCGCCCTCACCAGCACAGAAGGGGTGCAGGGGCTGCTCCAAAATTGTTCTCCTGCTATGGGCATCATTTTGCCCCTCCTATCAGTCTGCTGCCTTAAACTATTACCTTTTTTTTTCCTATGCTGAAAGCCAATCTGCCTAGAGGAAACCACACAATCTTTTTTTAGGAGCAGGGGGGAAAACGGAAGAAAACACAAACCATTTACATTGTCATTTAATGCAATCAGTCTTTCAGATACCATTATTCAGTGAGGGGGGAAGCAGAGAGCCTCCTGCTATCATTGGCAATGACACTCAATTAAGCTGAGCACATCTAAATTATGGCTTTTAATTAAAAAGAGGCAATGTCTAAGATGGCATCAACATGTTTAAAATTTAATACATTTCACACCAGATGCTGGAGTCATCAACATAAAAATCTGTCGACAACATGTGCATTTTTAAAATGGGAAAACCTATTTTTAAAATGTCAGACAGTTTAGAATGATAGCAACACATCTCAGTGGCCTATCTGGTTTGATGTGCTTTCCACTTAACCATTCACGGTTGAGAAAAAACTTTCTGAATATGACTCTTTGGTTTTAATTTAAATAGTTATTTATCATCTGAATCTTACAAATTGCAAGTTTTCCCATCAAGCCAAGTTAGAAACGAAAAGTGTCATTTTAAAGAAAGGTAGGGGGTTTGTTTTGTTTTGTTTTGTTTTCCCTAAGGAGATCCATTTGTCTCCCTCATTAACATTAAGTCTCTTGTACATTGCCCATATGAATATGAAATCAGCCATGAAAGTCATAAAATCAGTTTATGGATGCTTGGGTAAAAATCCCTCTTCCTTTTCTACTTCTTTTTCTTTTTAGGTTTATTATACTTAAGTGTTAGGCTGGTCAGAGATTTACAATATTTTCTTAAAGACCTTAATTCTGAAAGCCAGGTTGTCACTCTTGTAGTCATTATCATCTACCCTGGAGTGAAACCAAAACAGCAATAGCAGGTAGAGCAAACATAACCAGTTCTATAGAGGATGAGAGTTTGGGGGTCTCTTCTTTCTGCGCTGAAAAAATTGGGAACACAAATTAGGGAGATATTCCAAAATATCAGGTTGTGACTTCTTCCCTTTCAGTGTATCAGCTACCATGAAAATAGAAGCCATCCAAGACCTCTTAAAACAAATACTTCAGAACCACTGTTCCTCAAGAAAACACTGCATTTCTGCCTGAGCTTTGAGCATCCCATAACTCCTGATGAAACAAAGAGGAAACAGTCAGAAAAACCGCCTTCTCCATAGCATCTGGTGGACTTCCAGTTAATTCTCCCCACAATACCACCCACTTCATCATTTGCTTTAGAACGCACTAGCTCTCCCAAAAGTAGACATCAGTAATGAGATTATGGACATACAATGTCTGGACCATTATGTATACTAATAGGTTGGAAGCAAAAAAAGCTTGCACAACACAAACAGACACCATCCAGTCAAGCCTATTCAGCAAGCAGCAAATAATATTTAGCTCTTCAGGATGAAGTAGCATGTTGAGGCTAAATTACATTAAAGTCTGGGAAGCTGCTAAAAGATTTAGCAGCAGTGGTAAATCATGTCATTAATACTCACTGTCTACAGACTGCTTCAGAGTTTATTCTCTTTCTTTGCCTAAAAGAGCACAAATGTTTAATAAATCTGAGATGACACACACATGCATGCATACATGCTCAGGGGACAACCCACATTTCTGCATGAAGGAGGGCTGGCTCCTGCAGCTGGAGTCTTGCCTTCACATATATTATATTCTTCAGTGCCACTCTTCCCTTCCTTCATCAAACAAACCAGGATGGAAGAAATCCACACTGATGGTTTCATATCTTGCTGTTACCAGCCATCATCAAATCTCCTGTTCCCAAATAAGCTCATACAGAAACCTGAAAAATGTCTACCACAAGCTTTTATAATTGAATCAAATACACTAAGTAAGATAGAATATATTTTCTATCCACAATTTCTAATGAAAAAAATTATACAGCTGCGTCAAAGGATGTTCTCATCCTACCATAAATGCTTGCCTAATATTTATTTTCATTCTCTTGGATTTTTCTCTGCAGTGCTTTGCAGTTTAAATAAGGTACTGCTGCCTTCCTCTTAGGTAAGTAGTCAGGATGCAGAGTGAAGAATTAAGATTTTGAATCTTTCCTAGAAGGCTACAGTTGGAGAATAACAAAAAGAAATTGCATTTCCACCCCTAGGTGCACAAGCACAAGATTTTCCATTGGTTTTCAGTAAGGTGTCATGTATTTAAGTGCCAGCATTAAGCAGACAACACAGGCCTATCTATCCTTCCCTGCATAACACCGCACTGTTACCAGTCTAGCCCAGTCCTTGGATGAAATCAGTTGACTGATGAAGAATGCTTGAAGGAAGCTGAAACCATGTAAGACAGGGCTAAGTTCGCATACAGAGGGAAAGCATTTTGAAAGGTTTGTGGCTATAATACAGTCTTTGGATAAAAGGGTGCACACACAGGGGCCAGTTCAGTCACAGTTTGGGAACAGTCTGATTTACTGTTGGTCTTAGTTTTTCTATCAGAGCTTCTTGGCAAGAACAAACTTCCTTGAGGGCAAACTGAAGACTATGGAATTAACTCTTCTGGAACTATAAATATCATATTTATTTCATAAACTTCCCTGTATTTCACTCCACAGGCAACATATATTTCTTTATCTTGGCAATAAAAAGCAAACCTCCCATTACCACAGGACGTTGCAGGTGTATACCCTTTCCTTATGATTCAAGAAAGAGAAAACAAGAATGCGCCAAAAGTCCAT